TAATTTTATAGAACTTTTTGAAACAAATCAATTTATTTTAATGCAAATTTTTTTCAAAGAATTATCTTCACCTGTCAGATTTGGTTTCACACAGTCACAACAACTTAACAGAAGAAGTCTAACGTCTGTGACAAATGTTCAAGCAAAAAGTCACTGAATGACCATTAGATAATGCAGCTGCAATTGATGAAATTAAATTATATGGTTTCAGAATAAAATTAAAAAAAAATGTCTTTCTTCACTCACTTCAGTTGTCAAAGAAAGATAAAAATGACTTTGGCGTCATTAAAGAAACACATTATGATCCATAAAATATCCGTTCAGTTTAACCTGAGGCGCTGACAGAGGATGTGATCATTCTCATGGAGAAAGTGAACTCACTCCTCACAGTGTTGATAACAAAACGTGCCTTTTCCCCTCTGTTTTTCATTGCATCTGCTGCCTCCCTCTCTGCATCAGTTATCACCTTTTTCTCCAGCAGTTTGTCGATCAGGCTGCTGAGAACAGGTTCTGATATCCCTTCAATGAAGCAGCTTCTGTGTGTTTAACAGCCTCTCGAAGGAGGACGACTAAGTTCCCACTGTAGGGGAGAAAAGACATCTCTTTCCAAAACACAGGTGGAGCTGCTCTTATCTTTCAGACTGAGGTCAACATCTGTGAGGATTCTTAAAATCACCTGGAATGTCGTGAAGTAGCTGTCGTAGTACTCATCATCAAAATCACGGATCACGATGTTCCTTGGAAGCAACAACACACTGAGGATGGATCTGGGATCAGGATCAACTGGGGGTTTGTAGAAGAGCAGAACCAAAGCTTGGACTGGGTCAGGAGGAGAGTCTTCATCCTGAGGTGAGGATTATTAAACTCGATGCCTTCATCATTCACATGAGCGACCTGCAAGAACTGACCTCCACCTGTGGAGATGAGCTCACAGTGTGGGAGACAAAGCTGACACACAGACTGCTGCTGACATTTGATGTCAAACAGGGGTCCTGCAGGCTTCTTGTGGTGTTGGGCCAGCAGCCTCCTGTTCCAAGGGACAGTCCTGTAAACCACGTCTCCTTCTGCCTTCATTAAAAAGCACCAGGCCGGTCACACTGCACTGGTACAGGCAGGTTTCATCATTAAAAATCATCATTAATAACAGGTGTGAAGACCTTTAACAGCATATCAGGTGAGCTGTTTACTTGTGTGACGTTGTTTGCACAGAGCATTTTGCTCAGTGAGACCATGCTGTGAGAACAAGGCAAGAGGCAGGATGTCCTCCAGGGCCCACTGAAATTACTGGAGAAGTGAAAGAGAGGATAAGCTGAGAGTGGAGCAGATTTTCATTAAAGTTTATTTAATCATCATCCAACACAGTTTCAGACTCCATATTAATGCGTTTCATGACTTCTTCATAGTCAGAACTGCTACCTGCTGCTGATTCGTCAACAAAAGGTGAACAAGTGTCATTAAGACCATCTCGTGTTGCCTGAAGAGGCTGACGGATATCTGGTCTTGACCCAAGGGCATCTTGTGTCGCCTGAAGGGCATGTTCTGTTGCCCGAAGGGCATCTTGTGCTGCATGAAGGGCATGTTGTGTTGCCCGAAGAGTATCTTGTTTCGCCTGAAGGGCATCTTGTGTTGCCTGAAGAGAATCTTGTTTCGCCTGAAGGGCATCTTGTGTTGCCTGAAGAGAATCTTGTTTCGCCTGAAGGGCCTCTTGTGTTGCCCGAATGGCTTCTTGTTTTGCCTGAAGGACCTGAGAGGCATGTTGTTTTGCCTCGAGGGCCCGAAGTGCATCTTGCTTTGCATGAATGGCATTTTGTTTTGCCTGAAGGGCATCTTGTTGTGCCTGAAGGGCATCTTGTTTTACCTGAAGGGCCCGAAGGGCGTCTTGTTTTGCCCGAAGGTCATCTTGTGTTACCTGAAGGAGCCGAAGGTTATCTTGTGTTGCCTGAAGGACCCGAAGGTCATCTCGTTTTGCCCGAAAGGTATCTTGTGTTGCCCGAAGGGCGTCTTGTGTTGCCCGAAGTGCATCTTGCGTTGCCCGAAGGGCGTCTTGTTTTACCTGAAGGGCGTCTTGTGTTGTTTGAAGGGCCTGAAGGCCATCTTGTGTTGGTCGAAGGAACTGAACGGTATCTTGTCTTGGCTGAAAAGCCCTAACGGCATCTTGTGTTGGTCGATGGGCCGACGGCATCTTGTGTTGGTGGAAGGAACCGAACAGCATCTTGTGTTGGTGAAGGGAACTGTACGGATATCTTGTCTTGGCTGAAAAGCCCTAACGGCATCTTGTGTTCGGTCGATGGGCCGAACGGCATCTTGTGTTGGTCGAAGGAACTGAACAGGCATCTTGTGTTGGCTGAAAGGAACTGTACGATCTTGTGTTGGTCGAAGGGGCTGAACAGCATCTTGTGTTGGCTGAAAGAACTGTACGGCATCTTGTGTTGGTCGAAGGGCATCTTGCGCTGCCTGAACTGAAGTTAGTTCAGCTCTTGCTGTTCTATTCCGTGTTGGACTGTACATCTTGTTCTAGTGGCTGTTATGCACCCAGGTATGAACATCCAATGATATACAAGAGTTGAAAAACAAGCTTACTGAGAATTTAGGGATGAACTTCTAAAACACTGGTTTAGAGGCTGAGACACGGGTTTATTCTGGATCATTAGGTTACGATCTAACTTCGGAGTCTTCTTTTTCTCCTGTGCTTTCGCTTCCACTCGAAGTTTCACTTCTTGATTTTTTATGTTAAGCGATATATCCAAATTCCTCCATCAAGGGAAATTGAGCTTGCCTTTGTTTTCAATGACCACTGAAAATGTTATGAACTATTCAAAACATTTTACAGCGACTTTGGCTGTTGGAGTTTTCCCCTGGTGGAAAACACAGAATAAAATTCATTAACTAATTAAAACTCTTATAAACACAGTGCCTCACAGTGTTTATTTTAATGCGACAATGGTAAATGATTTATTAACTCATTCACTGCCATTGACGTCTATAGCCGTCAATGGCAGTGAATGAGTCAATGGGTTTAACTCATTCACTGCCAATGGCTGGCAGGGGTGACTATGTAACCTTAAAAAAAAAACCCCAAAACTTTCAATCAACTAGTATAGACCAGGGGTGTCGAACTCCGACCTCGAGGGCGGTGTCCTGCAGGTTTTAGATAACACCAGTCAGCACACTTGAATCAAATGATTAGGTCATTACCAGGCCTCTGGAGAACTTCAAGACATGTCGAGGAGGTAATTTAGCCATTTAAATCAGCAGTGGGACAAGGACAATCTAAAACCTGCCTGAGAGATGTCCAATAACAGAAGTCCCATTGCCTGTCCTTGTTAAATTACATACAATAGCTAGAGCACCTGTGTCAGGTCAACTTGTGCTCTTCTATTTCTTATTTTATTATTTTTAAGGCAGTAGTGTAAGCAGCTCTCTCTACTCCCTGCCCTCGGGACTTAAAGATGATGAGTCATTTCTTGTGCCCTCCCATTTTATGCCTGCTCCCTTATTTCTGACATTAGAAGCTCATTGTGTTGCTTTTCACAGCCTTAGTTATCTCTGGTCTCCCTTTTTGAATGCATTGAGTTCATTTCGCAGCTCTTTCACTCTCTCTTCTTTTTATCATCTTTCTCTTGTCCCTTTAGGTTGCTGGAACCTTGTCTTTCTACTATCACACTCACTTCTACTTTCTTCTCATTTCACTTTTATTGTCGCTCTCTGTTAAGTTTTCTCTTCTTGCTTTTCATTTTCATCTCCTCAGCAGCTGGGGCAATAGATGCGGTCAGCGGAATTACTTATTGTGTATGATTTTTTTCTTATATTAAAAAAATAGACCTAAATGTGTTCATTGGCCATCATACTGTCACAAGTGAAACTGATTAAACAAAGCAAATAGCATTAGCATGCTGACATGCTCATAAGACCTCCTGTCTGCAGTAATTTCATGGCATTCCCATTTGATAAGATTTTAGATGAACACTGGTTTACCTGAAGCCATGCTACTAGTTGTACAGGATTTTCCCAACACTAAGATTTCAAACAACATTTCAAACAAAAACTCTAATTTAAAATGTGTCTACTTCTTTTTTCTTTACATACTTTTTCCCTGTAACCCACATGTAACACTGAGATGTAGCGTGGCATTTCGTGTGGGAGAGTTTGTACGGAGCCCCGCAGGGGACATGGGAGAAAAAAAAATTAAGACGGACTTTTGCAAAAGTCTGTACCATACACCTCCAAATCAGCACTGAAACCTTAGAAACAACCACAGCGATGGAGGACACACACCTATTTGAGCGATTCATCGATTTTTACTTTGAGCGTGGACTAAACTATAAAGACATTAAAACTGTGCTTTGCAGTAGACACAGTTTTCATATAAGCGAAAGACATCTGAAGAGAGTTCTTAGCGCAAGGGGACACACTCGCCACAAAGC